CACTATGGAAACATTCAAACAAACAACCAATTAACAAAGGAGTAAGCATGTACACATCTTACGGCTCTAAGATGCGATTATGGTTTACTTAAACTTTGAGCGAAAATGGATGGGCCAACTGACGGGTGTGTAGGCATACAATAAAGGCTTAATAAAATATTCGTACTTTTAGCAAGAAAGTGGGGGTTAGGATAGGATAACTGAGAGTACTGAATACCTTGACTATAGCAGGAGTGTGCAGAAGCCTAAATTTTACATAGCAGGTATATAGGATAGTATAACTAAGAGTCCTACCTGAATACTTGACTATAGCAGGAGTGTGCAGTGAGAAAATACGCCTAAACTTTCATAGAAAGTCAGGAGAGGCCAACTAAAGGTCCCGAATACCGACCATATACATATAGCTGGATGGTGCAGTCAGAAAATATGCTTAAACTTTCATACTTTTATGACACAAGTGGGGGTAAGGATAGGCCAACGTACTACCCTGAATACCTTGACTATAGCTGAAGAGTGCAGTGCAAAACATTCTGAGGATTGTTTATTAAAAAAAGGCTTTGCAAACAATTGAGGTGAACTGAGCCCCTCAGGTTGTGGTGGTTGTATAGACTGACCGTGATAAATGTCTTGCAGTGAACCTCCTCCACAGAACTCCATTGCAATCCACAGTTTATCCCTCCTGAACATACACATACAGACACTCTATGACGACTCATATGACGACACATTACTCCCTATTGTAGCACTGCAGACCATTGCACCAATATGATTCTGACTAAGATGAATAAAGAGTGCCTTGTATAATACATGTACAACCAACAAGCCCGAAATAGCTGTCCAACGCTCCGCATCTTTTTTTCTCTTGGCATCACATGGTCTAATACCTTCATAGGGCAGCTCTACACGTAAATATTATCACATGGGGATCTTATGCAGATTTGATACAGGTACAGTGCTTGTTACATGATGCTGCATGTGTACAATGTGTAATCCACCTCATTAAGGGTATGGGTACGCCTACACACAAATTCTCATATAATACTACACAGGAATGTGAACATTGAAATTTACAACCTGTGCCACAGGACAACAGGGAACACGGTGCTAAAGTGGTTAACATTCCTACATCTAACGATAAACCAACACTTTCCATACATATCCATAGGAAAGAGTGCAGTATCTTATAGTGTGTGTGTGTGTGTGTGTGTTATTGCATTCCTCTATTGTCCGTCAAAGGAAAGCATGACCATATTCATACACAACACACACTTGAGTTGCCAATACACGCAACACACACACTGTTAGCACACTGTGAATACACATAAGAGGTCCGTCAACATTTCATTTGGTGCCCACCCTTCCAATTAAAGAGCACCCAGATTGAAGCATACCTCTCTTCCTCCAGGACCGGGTCGTAGCCAGAGCTTTTTTCATTGGTCATTGCCACGGCGACGGAGGGAGGCAACAGGGGAGGTGTAAATATAGAGTGGGAATGAACAGAGAGAGAGAGAGAAGTTTGAAAAATGAGTGGTCAAAAATAGGTTTGTAGAAAAGATTTTAAAACTGTTGCAATCCTCCGTGGCTAGCAACGCATTTGATAAAGCTACTGGCTAGACCCAGCCTGAACCCAGGGTTTATCAATACCCTTTCACCTCTTATCTCGAGGTATGTAGTACTTTATCACATAGATAACAATAAAAATCGCCCCCAAATTGATTCAAGTGAATGAACCATAGGTACTGTGTATGTACATTGAAACACTACAGACATGACCACAGCCATGTGCATGTGGCTACGAGGGTACATATTGATACACATTCCTGGTGGGCAAGATACATGCATGGACTACCAATGAGACACTGTGTGATAACTTACGTTTCGACTGCGTATCATCGAGTTATACACACTACAACACAGGCCCTCCACTTTCACTAAAAATCTTATTACGCACGTAATCAAGGTTACTCAGTCGGTCCAGCCCGCGCTCTCCTGCGGTCACCTACCTATTTTTCGAATTCGTGCTTACAAGCTCTTCATAGTGTGCCGATTTGCTATGTCGCGTTATCTAATTCTGCTCGCTTGGCAAAAGACTGGAGGCCAGTTCGTGAAAATGAGAAGACATCTGTTCACTCCTCTTTTGTTGGTCCTGGGACAGGCGTTTGCTTTTGTGGTCCTCTCTGTGGTGTCGCTGAGCACCTTTGGCTCTTGTGGTTCGCTTGGTAATGGCCCTTGCTCTTGTGCTTCGCATACTATGACGCACTGCTCTTGTGGTATCGCCTATCCGCACTAGCACCTTTACTGCTCTTGTGGTTCGCTTGAATGCACTACGCTCTTGTGGTTCGCTGAAGCACTTGCTCTTGTGGTTCGCTGAAGCACACTAGCTCTTGTGGTTCGCTGAAGCACTTGCTCTTGTGGTTCGCTGAAGCACTAGCTCTTGTGGTTCGCTGAAGCACTAGCTCTTGTGGTGGTTCACTGAAGCACTTGCTCTTGGCTAATAAAACGCATTGTGTGCATGGGACACACACGCGGATTTAACCAAAAAGATTCAATTATTGAACCGTGGTCCGAATTTGAAGCTGATTGCTTCATGTGACCAGCCCGTATTGTAAAACTTTCAAGGTAGATGATTAACCAGAGATCCCTCTAGAATAAAAATATCTGTGCATGTTGTTTTGTATTACCTGAGGTAGCTGCCATAGTAACCCACTATGTTTTGGTGTTTACAATCTGATAGAATTTGGATCTCCTGCTGTATGATGTTGAAATCCTCTCCTATTGAGAGAGAGAGGGGAGGAGTGGTGTGGTGGTAGTGGTGGGAGGGGAATAGATTTTTTTTAAACACTTCACTTGATACACAGGAGAGAAATTAGACAGAGCTACATACAAATGCAAGGGGAGGGAGAGAGAAGGGGAGAAAGAGGGGGAATGGGAAGGGAGAGAGAGGGGGAGAAAGAGGGGGAATATGAGATTAAAATAAGAGGGGTTACGTAGGAGAGAAGTGACGGAAGAAATTGCAACGGAAAAGAAAGGAGGGGGGGAGAGAGCAGACAAACCTGGCTCGATCTTGATAATCTTTAGGGCAACCATCTCTAAAGTCTTCATGACTTTCGCCTGTTGAAAACAACAACCATCGATAACATTACAAGAATCGGTTTTGTTTACTGTTCAGATAATGTCTTACGGTTGAGGACCGGAGCGATAATGAAAGTGTGCATGACTTTCATGCCACAAACATTTCAGAGGGTATGGTGAAAGTTTATTCAGTGGAAAAGAACTCCAATCATCCAGCAGTGGAACTTGCAAACACATTACATGGCACCATATGTACATATATACCACCAGTGTGCACACATTGTACAGTGTGAACATGTACATGTACATGTATACGTACACATTTATACATACACTACAGTACAGTATTATACTACATATGTACATATGTATACAGGGTTGGCTTGGTAGTGTAAGAGCGTATGTACGTATCTAATGTATGAGAGAGTGTTAATCTTTGCAATCATTGATGCTTTTCTTTGGACATGTAAAGCTTCCTTGATGATGATGATTAAGGCGGTTCACTTCCCCTGAACTTTCAAGGCATGAATGCCAAAAAGAATACGTTAGTAATTGTCTGTCTACATGTATATAAACCAGCAGTTTATGCACTGTGCTAATGTACATGCAATATGTGTTCCAGGTGGGTGGTGGGTTGCACAGATGCTGCAGACTTAAAACTATTATGAACAGTTATCACTGTTCTCACAAGAGAAAATTAGGGAGCTCTGACCTTGAAGACCTCTCCGTAAGTCCCGCTGCCGATCTGTTTGAGAATCTCAAACTCTCTCTCGGGATTTCTCCTCTGAATGACAGGAAGGATGTCTGGTGTGGAAGACATCTTTGTCTTATTCGGTTGACCTACTTACTGCAGTGAGGGAGGGAGGGAGGGAGGGAAGGGGGCTGGTGTTACAAATGATGGACACAATGTGATCAATGTGGCAGTATATATGTAAGGGCTAAATTTAGAAATGTTACTAGAACAATAGAAGAGTTCCCTGCTACATATTATAAGCCCTATAGTGTGGTATGTATACATTATGCTCCTATGTACAAGTTGTAGTATGGTATAAGATCTACGAGGGGGGATTAAAGGGGCAGTCCCTCTAGACAGAGTGTAGCTGAGAGTATGGCAAACAGTGTTGGGACGTCAGTAGAGGCCACCACCAACAACTGACTGTGCCACTCTGACTATGAATCAGACTCTGGGGGGGACACTACAGTGGACAGCATCTCGGGATGGCAAACATCAACAGTGCTCTGAGTGATTGTACACACACACTGTTTCCAAAGACCAACAACTCCTCTGCTTTATCGCAGAGAAGATTTTAACCCAAAGAAAGAGGTTGACTCTATAGTACTTTAGAAGCACAGCACATACATAATACATGCACAGTACATTAGTATAGACAGCTACCATGGGGGAGTAGTACATACAAGTGATGGAGGAGTGCCCTACAGCAGGATCAAATTGTAGTTGTAAAGTGTAGAATCCGTAAATTCTTACTAGAAGCCATGGCGTTCTGAATGCATAATAATGATGATGATAAGGTATAGAGAGTATATAAAGGGCCTACGATTCTAATGCAGGCATTACTTCACAGGATTTGAACACAAGGCAAGTGCAAAGCAACAACACTTTCTCCAAGGAGAAAAACTGCTGGGTGGGTGTGACAGTAAGGAGAAAACCTGCTGGCTGGGTGTGACAGTAAGGAGAAAACCTGCTGGGTGGGTGTGACAGTAAGGAGAAAACCTGCTGGGTGGGTGTGACAGTAAGGAGAAAACCTGCTGGGTGTGACAGTAAGGAGAAAACCTGCTGGGTGGGTGTGACAGTAAGGAGAAAACCTGCTGGGTGGGTGTGACAGTAAGGAGAAAACCTGCTGGGTGGGTGTGACAGTAAGGAGAAAACCTGCTGGGTGGTGTGACAGTAAGGAGAAAACCTGCTGGGGGTGTGACAGTAAGGAGAAAAACCTGCTGGTGGGTGTGACAGTAAGGAGAAAACCTGCTGGGTGGGTGTGACAGTAAGGAGAAAACCTGCTGGGTGGGTGTGACAGTAAGGAGAAAACCTGCTGGGTGTGACAGTAAGGAGAAAACCTGCTGGGTGGGTGTGACAGTAAGGAGAAAACCTGCTGGGTGGGTGTGACAGTAAGGAGAAAACCTGCTGGGTGGGTGTGACAGTAAGGAGAAAACCTGCTGGGTGGGTGTGACAGTAAGGAGAAAACCTGCTGGGTGGGTGTGACAGTAAGGAGAAAACCTGCTGGGTGGGTGTGACAGTGAAGGCCTTATCGTGATGGTGTACATTGGGTATATATGTTGTTGGAGTGCGGTATAAATAATAATCTGCAGCACAGGGTTTACTATGAGACTAACCCTATCGTTAGCAAGTGGGATATGACTCTAAAGTGCCAATGGACCGTCGGCAAACAAAGTCTCACATGCTTGTTGAGAACCAGCAGCATGAATGGCCACGTGTCAAAACAGAACCCAGAGCGTTGCGCAATTGTTACACATTGTACGTGTACCTACGTGAAAAAGGAACGTGTGTGTGTGTATGAACTAATAATTTAGCCATAGTGTCGTTCCTTCAAAAATGGCAAGAAAATGTAAGGTTTTGAATCTACTGTGCGATATCCGGTTTCAGTGTTGGTGCACACAGCTATACAACTCTCACTTTTTGGACACGAATCTCACGACACGTAAATATGTACATGTCTCAACAACTTGGTGTAGAAAGGCAAGGCTAGGCAAACAAGTCAACTATACCCAGCAGGACAGCTCTTTCTTTTACAAGAAAAGAAGAAGAGCTGCCCTGGGTGGGATTCGAACCCACGACACTGCAGTCTAGGCGAGGGCTCTACCAACTGAGCTACCAGGGCAACTCAGCTGGTAGGGGCTCATATACAGTATATTGATAGTATATACTTCCTAACATGTATATCTCTTTGTATGCTGCATTTCAGTACGTGATGTCATGCCTGTACCTCTGACTAATACACATACTATTATAGACATATAAACATAGTACATGTATCCAGGATAATGGTGTTGTATTTTTCACAAACTGAACACTTGGGACTGAAAAAGCTCTTTGTCTTTTCAGAAAACAAACCGAGAGAGATAAAGTGCCCAAGAGGTGTGCTTTAATTAGAGATACTTTCCCTAATAGTGGTGCTCTACGTAAAGAAACATATCGACATCTACAACTTTGCACACAATGCATGTGTCGGTCTGTCACACTAAGGAATGATAATTAGGCATGCTTCATGCACACAACAACTGAAGTTACGTGCAAAATAATAATAGCAACATAAACAATCTCTCTTACAGCAGGCATCCTTTAAACAAAGACGGTCAATTTCATTATGATATAATTATAATGCATGTCTCAACCACTTAGTAACGAGGTATGTAGAAAGGCAAGGCAAACAAGTCAACTACACCCAGGACAGCTCTTTCTTTTCAAAGAAAAGAAGAAGGGCTGCCCTGGGTGGGATTTTAACCCACGACACTCTGCAGTCTGGCGAGGGCTCTACCAACTGAGAACTCGGCTGGTAGGGGTTCGAATCTACAACACAACACAACACAAGGCAATCCTCAAACCACTGTGCTATGGCACAGTATACTCTCACTCAGTATGTACGTTGTACACAACAGTACTTGGTGGACAGATATACTGGACATGTTACCACGCCTCAAATGTCGCAAGACACTCCACTGAAATTTGATTACACCACAATTATACCAAGCCACACCTTCATGACTCTACAACACATGTACATTCCACACATTCCTAACTGAAAGCCAAACTGTATATTGTTATGTACAGCTACACAGATCCACTAAAAAAGGACCACCTACAATTCCATAATGTGAGTGTATACAGGTTTACCAATCAAATTAAACACACAGTGTTACAGAAACATTGGTCCACAGACACATGTTCAGGTGCATCTATAAACACACGCACGCACGCACACGCACGACACACACACACACACACATGCACACCACGCATTCACAGTACACAAGTCTCATCATTGTTTATGTTGCTCACGGGCTTACAAAGTCAATGGAGTAGTTATTACCGTAAGGGGGAGTTACCCTTTCTATGCACGTACTACACAACAGCACTACACACGTGTAACACTGTCACAACAGAGAGGTGTTCAAGTGTCATTAGCCACTTTTCCCTACCTGACTGCAGGGTCTTGGTAACATAAAGTATATAGCGAGGTCACTGACTGTGACTCTAAATAATGCCGCCCTAACTACTCGGGTGGAACTAACGGGTACTTATAGTGAGGAATGAGCAACCTTAGCCTCCCACACGCAAACTCTATACTGCGTACGTACAATATGATACGCCCTATGGGGCTTACTACAGGTGTCTACTACAATCCCACATTCAGGTGAGCATGCCATTTTAACTGTAGTCACACACACACTCACACTCACACACACACAGTGGCTCATTCCACAGTAACCAAGTATAAGGCATTGTACGTGTAGGGGCAGCCCTATCACATGCACACGCCATACAATATGTACGTTTGCCATTAGTTGAAGCACAGAAAGTGGCACTGTAAAGTCAAGGGTTCAGGGGAAGGATTGAGGGTTACTATAATTTTTTACTCCCTCTCTCTCTGTTTTTACAGCTTTGTAAAAATGTATTATTTTTGGAAGTGAAGAGGGAAGTAGTCGGGAACACACCAATTCCCTTCCCCCTTCCCTTCCTCTTCAATATATAGGTTCCTGGCCAGTACATACCCTACATATACACTAATAATGTGTTCTTGGCTACCTGGTGTATATGTATATGACAGAGGTGTACAAACAAGAGGTGAGGTCAAGTGGAGAGCACGAAGCACAGCCTAGTGTGTCACCGCCAATCAAAACCTGCCTTTATAAGCATACTGTATAACTTGGCTCTGCACGTGGTAACTGAATATGCATCACTAATGTACACTGCATGCAATGAGCAGAAATTCCATTTTCTACTGAATCACAAACGTTTCCCTCTCAAAAGGTTTTCCCTCACACTCGTGTATTATATTACTGTGTTCAGAAGTATAAAACAATGAAATGTGAAAATTGTACTGTAACGAACATCAACATACACTATGCTAGTGCATTATGTACTATTATTATATACATACAGTACACAGCTAACCATGTATTTTACTGGTTTGGAGCCCAAATACGAGATTAGAGGTCTCCATGCACTCAATGAGGAAACCCTTAATTTGTATGATAATTGGCTTAGTTAGACATGGCTAACATCAACACCAGGCACTCTGAATATGGGTGTATGAACAAGTTAGCACGAAATTGGCTTACTAAAACATGCACCAAACACATCTCTAGCAAACAAACTTCAATTAGCACCTTAATTGTGTAATCAACACCATTATGGGCTCTGCTAGAGATACCTGTGCACCAGAGTTGACAAGAAATTTGTGGGGGAAAAACTTCCGAAAACTTCCGAAAACTACTATTATATACTATGGGCTTTATACAGAAGAAAATATATCTCACAAAAGGTTTTCTTCCAAAAGCTTCAAAGACACAACTACACATACACGTGTGTAACAAATACAGGCGGGATACTGCACTTCTTATGATGATCACATGAACAATTTTTGGTAATTCAGTTTCCAAAAACACACAAACCGTACCCTGTGCGTTTGATGCCGCTTTCATCCATACACACACAGACAGACTGACTGTCTATAAGTACTCAAGGCTTTGATATGTGTGAATGAGTATGAGTTGCAACACAAGGCAAGTAGTGGATATCAAACAAATCAACACCACCCAGAAAATACTTTGTCCAAAGAGAGAGAGCTGCCCCGGGTGGGAATTGAACCCACGAAGCTCTGCATTTCAAGAGTGCTCTACCTACTGAGCTACATACAAGGCAGCTTAGCTCTATAAGTCTACTGTACATACAAGTTGTACATGCAACACAACACGGCTGGCAAAGGTGTGAACCCCAAATTCTCTGTAATACATAATATAGTGGCACAGAAACTATTTGCTGGCTCAGTCATCAACAAACACCCACTATCGCAAAGAAAATGCACTCCAAGAACACACACTGAGTGGCAAAACCAACTCCGAGAAGTAACATTTTATCACAAACTGTATCTCTCACTTCGAGTGAAAGTGTATGAAAAGCTGTACATTACTTGCGTGCCCAAACTACACACATACAGAATCTGGCTGCCTGTTAATTTAGGTGCTAATATACTAATTACCACTCTCTTGTTTGAACCACTACACTCAGGAGAATAGTATGTGAATGATATATCTCTCACTCCACCAGAAAGCCCGAAAGAAAGCTCGAAAGAAAGCTCGATACCTCTGCGAAACTATACAAACAAAAACTACTAAATGCACAGCAACTCTGCGTATGTAGCTACCACATAATCATGTAGCTGTATCTCATCAGTACTTTCTTATGCAGGTCTAAGGGGGCAAGGGGCATGCATTTACAGTACAAGGGAAAAGTTGTTCAAAAACACAGATACTTCAAGAAATCGCACCACAGGCATACAGTGGCTACACACGAGCGGGTGGTAAGGCCTCCCTTTGAGGTGAATAAGACAATCGCCAGGGGGAAAAAGCGTGGCCACATTGTACACGCGGCGATAGAGCGCCTTGCATAGAGCAGAAAAGCACGTTTGATCACATCAGAGGGAGTGGTTTATACGTTACAGTACGTGCAGCCTTAGTACACGTTTAGAGCTGCTAGCAACCCCACAGAGCGGCAACCGAAGGACGAAAAACACGGTCGAAGTACTGTACACGATGCACGCACAGCTTCATTCACAGTAACACTATACACACAGGGGTTAGGGGTACACGTATTCACTTACATACTACGGTGAAGGACGATGAGTCAGTGGCTCCTCTCAAACTGCCGGTGCCTCACTCTCTAGCGAGATGGGAGGCGGACAAAAGAACTCTGCCACAGTCAGACTTCACTTCACTTCACCCCCAATCGGTCATCAGTCCCCCGGAGACTTCCACATTCCCCGAGATCGATGGACCGACCGCGGGCATAACACCGGGGCGCGCGCTAGAATGTAATCCAAGGACTCTCATTCCAGAACCGTATGGGAATCAAGCATTTACGTGCGCATGCGTGCACCTTTGCAGCCTCGGAAGTGCTAGTGGGAAAAGAATAAGGACATCTTCCCAAGAAAAAATTAATAATAACGCTGAAAGTATATAAGGCCATTTTATATTGAGACTTTTCTGTCCCGGGAATTATAGGGGTTCAACTGTAATCACTGATGAGATTTCCACAGCTAATAATATGGCTTATTGGATGCTCCTGGACTGGAGAATCAATAACCAAGAAAATCAGGCAAGTTCATGGTTGCTATAGACAGCTACGACATCGCTCTGGTCACTCAGCAAATCCACCATCTTCTCTGCCTTCTCAAACTGCTCCACACTGAGTGACACAGACAATCTCGGTAGGTACATCACACCTGCCGACGCTATCTCCAGTCCTTTCTCTCTCACTGCTCCACACACTGCGTTCAGTTGACTCGGTTCGCACTTGAGCTGAATCGAATCTCTCGCCCCAGTCTCTGGGTCAGATGACACCTGTACATCCTCGGCTCCTACTTCAATGGCTAACTCTGTTGGATCTATAGTGTTTCCAGAGGAGGAGAATGAATAGGTGGAGATCTCTACGATGGCCTTCTGGTGGAACATGAATGCTGAAGACCCTGGTTCTCCCAGCACACCACTAAGATGAAGAGAAAAAAATAGAGGAAGTATATACATAAGCCTTGACTTTCGAGGGGTGACTAAGCTTTCCAGTGCTCAGTAATGTGTGAAGCTGAACAGCAAAAAAAGTTGCAGCATTATTAATCTTATTAATATTGGGCCCCAGTGTCCTTCCTTTCCTCCCAACAAACCTCGCGGTTCCTAGCTATATACACTTATGGAAAGGAATCGTGAGATTGAGGGAAGTTCTCACCTGCAAATATTCAAGGGCTGAAGGAGTTCATCTAAACAAGCATAAGGGCTAAGGCACAGCTGTGCATGTATGTAACTGTATATACAATGCGTAATTCAAAAGGTACAGAGTCTTTGGTCAATCCAAGATAATATATATAAAGGCAAATGTACACGAGATCAGTAGACCTAGTCCTTTAGGCTTGGCTTGTGCAGGACTAACAAAACTGTCAGAGAGCTTTGCACTATAATAGTGGGGGATATGAATGTGAGTTGCATTAGCGAGCTAACCTAGTGGTCCGAACGGCGTAATTTTCTATATTATAATAGTCGCCATACATCATCCATTTACGTGCTTCTTTTTATCAGAAATTATTCAATATTGCCTTGGCTCACGCTACCCTATATGCACAACATACGACACAAGCACAATACACATGACTGAAAAAGTATGTGTTCTAGCAGCTCTAAAAGCTAGCAATTCACAACACTGAAGGCTAAAAGCAGGAAGGTGACATAAAACTGTTCTTCTTCCCACTTGTTTTTCACAAACACATGGCCTATAGGACCTTTCTATAAAGGAAACTTAATTCTGTATTATAGTACTACATTATATATAGCTCTGAAAAACTACATTTCAGCTCTGAAAAAGGCACTACTCTGAATTAAAGACACTTTGCAAGGTGTCCCTTACTTATAATAGAAGTGTAAGTGTTAGCTACCCACCCTTGTTTCTCAATAATGTGCCTGATCTCAGGCCTTGTTCTGTTGCGGTTGTCAGTGAGGGCCTCAATGAGGACCAGGTACACACTGGGACCTCTCCCCTCGTACATGACGGCCTCGCGAGCTGCTGCTCCTGACCCACTCCCTGCCATCGCCGACTCAATGTTAGATTTCGGAACTCCACTACTGCGGGCCTGAGTGAGGAGCCCAGCCAGTTTGACATTGGTTGTTGGGTCAGTTCCTCCACTCACGACTGCTGCTCGAATCTGATCCAATAGCTTTCCCCTCATCCTGCTCTTTTCCTGGTCAGTCACCCCCTTTTTTTCTTGATCTTTGACCACTTGTTGTGGCCAGCAGACCTGGCACACGATGTGCGTAGACTACGACCAACATAAGCCCCTAGCTTCATAGGATTCTGTGCATGCTGAGTAAAGTATCTTCATTCAGTACTCATCATAGTCTTGCTGTCGCCAGTAACTTACTTCGCCAAGACAGTGGAGTATTGGGCGGGTAGTTGTGAAAGTAGCACCTAAAACGCTCAAGACCCTAGCAGTATTCATGGAGTTCAGCGGTCTTTCAGGTCTGCGGGGGTCTCCGCGCTCCAAAGTCACGTACGTATTATACCCAACGCGCACCCTGGTCGGTCCCGCCCCCTAATTATTCATGTTGAACGCGCCGTAAGTAATTGACTTTGGCCGCGCCTATAGCTACCTTCTCGATCTCCGTCCTCTATCGGGAAAGCTGCGAATAAATCACAGACTCTCCTCTGAGATCCTTGACCTGGTGAACATTGACTTCCTTTTCTTCTTTGAACCATTTACAGAAAGCATGGAGTGCTGATCTTGGCCCGTATTATTCTGTCTTCCGGGGCCAAATCTGTCTGGCACGAAAGACGCTCTGCTTTATCTGGTGAGTTGAAATCCATCGAATTTGACGTTAGACCATGATTTATGACGTACAATACGACGCGTAGATATAAAATGGGTTCCTTCAAGTTGACTGGTAGTGGTAGACAAACCTCACAGGGGCATCAGGGTAAGAGGGAATTCGTAGCTATGTGTTTCATGAGGATATATGTCTGTATACAAACCAACGTTGGGACTCCACTAATAAGGGGTAGCTTCAGCTAACAGTTTAGAACACATTCTGTTGGGGTAGCTACCTAACTTTTACATCACAACTATGAAGGCAACACAACACTGGCCAACAAAAGGCACTAAAGTGGGGGTGTGTATATGTACCGCTAGTTGTTGCATTATGCTACGTATTCCACAGCAGCCAATGAAAGACACAAGGGGGCAAATTCACATCCTGTCATGTTGTATAGTGTATGGCAGCTGTCCAGAGCTCCGCATCTTTTTTCTCTTGGCATCACATGGTTTTTTCTACATGGAATCATAAAACCATGTGTATAACGGTGCACGGATCCATGAAGATAACTGAAGTTCTATTCCTACTGCACCCGAGTTTTACAAACCTGTGAGACAAGGAGGGAAAATTGTGTGGGTATTGCCCAAGTTTGTGTGTGAGCAGTTACAAGATTCAACGCCTGCAAACAGCATGAAATGTCATTGAGCATGTAATTGTATATACAGTCAATGGAAGAGTTTTCCTAATAACAGTAGCATTAGCAAGTTCAATTCTCAAAAACAGTCCAAAGCTAATACGAGATATAATTTTGCTAAGCACATCATCCTAAAGTTCATGAAATAGCTGTAAGGTGCAATCTCATACCTACCAAACAATGGGTTCAACTATATTACCTCAAAAATGGTCTACCTACACCATTGTCGCAAACGGGGTGCACATATTCTGGTCTAATGGGCAATGGCTTTGAAGCTGCAAGGTTGTTATAAATAGCTACATGTTTCACATTTTTCAACTTATGGTTGAACATTTGCCCAGCATACAACTTTTTCGCTATTAGCTATACCACCAAGGCAACTCTTGCATGCCTGTTTTATGTTTTAGCTGTTTCATGCAGCTGAGCGTATAGATAAAGGCAGACAATTCCATGTGCTGCATGAACTGGGAGCAAATGAATTCTGAAAGGCATTTGTATGAGAAAAAAGCTGAAGAAATAAATAGTCAGAAGTAGAACGAAATGGAGTAGCTAACCCGTGGAATAAAAACGTCAGGAGGGAAATCTATCATATGGTTTACAATTTTGTACAGAAATACTTTCGACGTGTTTCCAAAGCTGGAAAGTCACAAAGAGACAAAAGAGTGCTGTAGTTCAGTGTCCACTGCTTAGTACATAGTCGCAATGCTAGGTTTTGGACGCGCTCTAGTTTAGCAATGTCTCTCACTAGATGTGGATACTTGGCAAGCATATACTCGTCGGAAAGGTCGAACTAGCGATACATAGAGTTGCAAGAGACTGGTGGTATCAGAGTTCAGTAGAAGTGACAATTAGTATATAACCCTACGGTCCTCCTGGCTTTTGTAAAATAGTGTGGATGTGTTCACTCCAACACAAATCAGGAAATGGTGACACCAAGATACTTAAAGGAGTAAGTTCTCTCAATTACAGACGAAGTAAGAGTGATAACTGGAGGTATATACTAGAGAGTTGGACCTCTTCCTGGTGACCGTGTATTATATACACTTTTGTGGGTTGAACAGCTATTAGACCAGGCTTGTAGAGTATCAAGGTCCTTTTTAAAAATAGTTCTTTATAGGCTTGTATTACTATAAAATCATCAGCATAGAGCACAAGTTTGCAACCATTAATTGTTAGCTGTAAGCCCGTTATTCCATTTATAGAGTAAAGGTCCGAACCTTGCCGGAAGCTGCATGAACTTCAGAAGATGTGACACCGTCCACCACCACCCTCTGCATGTTAGTATTTTTTGCCAATTTATGCAGTGATAGACTAGCTAACTAGCTACAGTGTTGTCGAGATAATAGCTACAGGGAAACAGGGAAACGGCTTTCGGGACATTGCCCTATGACAGGGTTGCGTATTATATATGCACACGGAGAGCGGCCGTGAAGGGTGCGGTTTTGCAGTTCGGTTCGACTGGTTGTTGACGATCCCCGCCAGCACGCTCTTCATCTGCAGTGTGAGTGAGGCTTCTAGAGGCAACAATAGCTATAGCTACGTCGGTGTCGTTGTTTTCGGTTAGTGTTTTGTCAGAGGCGCGGAGCGTCCAAGGCTCTAGCTGATGGGTTTATGTTACAGGGTTTTCTGCTTCTCAAATTGTTGGCGCTGGAAATAGTATTAGTTTTCAACTGAAATGTAAAGATTTGCTGCATTATATGGCTATTAGCTGCGCATAATAGTGCTGAAGTTGGCATGCGCTATTGCGTGAAGCATAGTTACGCCTATACAGCTACAGAGCCCGTTGATACGGGCGAACAGCTACACGAGGGAGGGATATTTACGAATGACACAGCAGAAGGTAAGTAGCTAAAGCTACTCCGTCTGCTTTTGGAGGCAAAATGCATTGCAGCACGGAGAGCGGTTTTGTGTTTCGTTTACTACTCTACGCTAGGCCTACTGCGCGAGGGGTGTGCGGCGCTTACCGGTTTCAACGGTGCTTAAATATACGCTTCTCGGAAGGTTTCCGCTTAGCTCTGAAGGCTCTGTTATGAATATGACCTAGCGATCGCTTTCGAGAGTGGTCGTCACAAGCAGTCTGAATGTTTGCGCATGCGCGCTTGGGACCGGTGATGTAATTGCGCAATAGGCAATTATTTTGCCGCCACGTATCACGGCCCCACTGCCAGTTTCGTCTGCCGCGGTTGGGAGCGCGACCGAGAAATAGCCCCGTGGAAGGTCTATACGGAGCCGCCTGAGACGTAAGTTTCTTCTTCCACTTGGTTATGAAAGAACGTCGGAGTATTTACATCATATTTTTTACTCAAGTTAGTAGATAGACGGCGTGCCGACAGCCTGGCGTTGTGGCCGTACTACTAGCTACTCATTAGCTGGCGCTCTCTGCGGACCTCTTGATAACACGCAGGCTAGTCCTACAGACGAAGCGACGGTATTAGAGGTATTGGCGACGAAAGACACCGTAGCCCTGGCTACAGGCGTCCACGCCGCGTCGCCGCGCGGCCTTGTCCCCGGTCGACTCGTGACCACCCCTGGCGAGACGCGACGCTTCCCCGACTCTCGTTTGCGTCACTTTATAGCGTTCGTGAGGGCTCCGGCGGATCCTGGCACCGCGTGGATCGTAAACACAGTCTGGTAGTGGCTGTTGTGGATGTTCCGCATGTTTAGATGTAGCTATATACCAAGGCAGGACCGGTATGATCCAGTGCGTGTAAGAAACTTGCATGGTGTTGTATGTTGTAATTATAGCTGGGCATGGGAGTATAATATACATATGGACTGGTATATAGAGTTATGTCTCTATTAGGTCATTGGATAGCTCATGTTTATGCACTATTCCACTGCAAACATCAGGATAGAGACTATATCATCACATCTCTCTGGTAGCTAACACTCTTTAGTTCATAGACAGTGTTAGTTACAAGGGAGAGACTGACTCTACACGATTGGGATATGTTTTCCCGCTTCCTTTTGCAGGTGCTCAAGGGCAAAATGCTAGCCTACATACCACAGAACATGTCCAGAAAGAGAAGTGTACCCTTTAGAGCTACCACTACAACTGATAGAAATGAGGAGGCTCCACTGCCCAAGAGGACCCGTACTTCAACTGCAGGTGTCGCTTCCAGATACAGAGATAACAATGGAGGAGAAGGACACCACTCTCTGGATGTCTTTGTCCTTCCACAAGCCCCGAAATCACGGAGAGTAGCAAGTCTGAAGGCACAGGTGGCCAACGCCTCTCTACTCCTTGCTGAGACGCGGCACCGCTCCAGATCTTCGTCTCCTCATGAATTCAGCTCGGCTGGCGAGGAAGAAGGATTTGGAGGATTGCTGGTGGCAGAGGGTCCGTGGGGAAACACATCTGTGGTGAGTGAGCGACCCCAAGGGAGAGTCACCAGTCAACAGAGTGGGAAGCCGGAACAGGCTGAGAGCTGTGCCAGTCCACTCAGTCCGCTCTCTTCCCTCGGGAGCGAGTGGGAAGAAGAGAAAACCATGGGATCTGGAGATGCTCTGTTGAAGGTGAATGCAACGCCCAAGTTCAAAACCCCCGTCCTCAATCTTGTGTCAGTGGTTGAAAAGACACAGAGCTGTGGGAAACAGAAACAAAGTAAATCCCCCGGCCCCTCGAAAAAGCCACCTGCATACCCACCGATTCAAGGATATGTGAGGCGAATGGCAAGCCTGAATGCCCGGGCATTTGTGAGTGCAATGATGGAAACAGGGAGACAGCCTTACAGGCGGAAAACAGCTCCAGAGTCTCCAGCCAACACCGTGATTTCCATTCCAAGGAGGAAAGCTACTGGCAGAGCTACAGCTACTATCGCAAGCAGTGAAATTCCATCGGTCCAACCTACTGAGTCAGTATCAGGTGCACAAAACAGAGCTTCCACAACAGAAGAAGAACCTGAGGCACTATCTGATTCCCTCGAGACGTTCTCAAAGCAGTGCACCTCAGACAAGGAAGCCACTCCTGAGGGTCCAAATTTCCTGAGTCCCTTCCTGGGAAAAGGGCCAGGGTACGTGGTCCTTTGTGCTTCACCCAACACCCTGACGCAGTGTGGGATTATCAGAGGAGGGAGCTGCGATGCGTCGACATTCAACACCGAGGGTCTTCTGTGGAATGGAGACACCATTCATCCTCAGGCTCGTGTCTATCTCACTCCAGAGGGAGTGATGCCTCGTTTGATAGTCCCGCCCGTCTGCCCTGCCAGACCACACCGTGTCTCTGAAACAAAGGATCTTGCACAGAGGCTCCAACTGAAGAGACTGAAAACACCGAAAGCAGTAAAGGTACAGTCCCTGTCATCATTTGTTGCATATCACACCTCTGCTGAGTGTGGCTTCAATGAAAACCTAAATTTACAGCTACAATTACACCGCTGTTGAATACTGCGAGTAGCTAGCTATACCGCTATCAATTTGGCTAACAAAACTGGCACATTATACATACACGCGTAGGTGTATCAAAACCTTGACAAAGTAAATATGGGTGTGTATATATATAGGGCCACAAGTTCCACATTGAAACATTTTCAGATACTCTAGTCTTTCATATGCAGTGTTTTTGTTGTGCATATTTGTAACACTGTGTGACAGAGTCATATTATCGTCTGAATCGCAGGGTGATAATGGTTGGTATGCACAGGGAGATCCCATCAAGGAAGTGGTGCTTACACACAAGGTACGCGTACAAATAGGCATTGTATATAGATGTTAATGTGGGTGGAGCACGGTAGTTTGTAGTATACATGCTATGAATTTACACTAATAAGCTAACCGTGAATAATTGTACTTGTTTTAAGGAGGGGACTAGAGTGTCACGGAAGTATTATGCTGGAATAAGGAGAAAGAATGAGGTAAGCTCATTATAATTATCCAACCCTGTTGTCAGTATGAGGAATGCAGCATTTGCTTGTTATGGGTGCCCTGCTGAAGTTCAATTACTTGGCACTTGATGTGAGTACAGTGTCATAAGAGGCATTCGGGCATTGATTCATTGTGGATATACAGCCTGCAATGCCCCATAATAGTATAATTAGCCAATGGGGGTAGGTATAATTATTAGTACACCAAAACTGCCATCACGTCATAGTGGCTACTTCTTGTGAATGGTAGTTATTAGCTGTATGGTATGGAATCCCTGATATCGCGAGATTGACAACTGCTTGCGGACATAAAGTTAGCTATCTTCTCAACATCCTGAAAGTGACAGGCACAGCAATGTGAATACCTCCCACATTCTCGTGCAACCTATAGGCCTTCAACCATCCAACATAGTATTATAGACAGTCTCTGGAGGGTTTTATATCTACGACTCCAGTCAGGGAGATAACTGCTGGATTTTCACTTGTAGCAGAGTTGCAATCCTTGGCATAGACTACTCCCCATCCAAACTTAGTTACCCTAAGCAGATCATGAGTAGCACAGCTGTGATAGGAACCGTTAGCTACCTTTACTTTTTAGTAAATACATTGAGTAGCACAGCTGTGATAGGAAACAGTTAGCTACCTTCCCTGAAGCCTACTTTTTAGTACCACAAACCATTGAGTAGCACAGCTGTGATAGGAAACAGTTAGCTACCTTCCCTGAAGCCTACTTTTTAGTACCACAAACCATTGAGTAGCACAGCTGTGATAGGAAACAGTTAGCTACCTTTCCTGAAGTGTACTGTTTAGTACCACAAACCATTAATGCACCTTTCTTGATAAATAGCTTTGCAGCTTTTAATTTGGTAAAATGAGTATTTTCAATATGTCACGCAAGTCTGTAAAATGGGCAACTGCAGCTGCAGGATAAGAGAGTAATGTAAGCAATATAGATGTCGTTTGGAGTTAGATATCGTGGCAAAATATATTTCAACAACTGATTAATTCATAGGTGAGTATATAGTTTTTCTGTATCTAGCGGCAAGTAACCAGAAACAATCTTTGGGAATGTCTGGGATTTTCGGAATGTCTGGGATTTTGGCTCACTTCATTATGCCTGCATGAGTTTGCTCCTTGATAGTAGTTTTTTTCACTCGGTGTATAATGACAAGAAATGTTATTAGCTCCTTCTCGGCACCTCCTGGTTTGCTGGAATGTGAGAATGTAACAAGGAAAGAACTAGGTGTAGCTACTACCCTGGAAACAGGCTACTGGCTCTTTACTGTGAGAATGGAATAAGCACAAAGAACTATATAAGTGTAGCCATCACAATAGTCACTCTCCTGGTTTGCTGGAATGTGAGAATGTAACAAGGAAATAACTACTACCCTGGAAACAGGCTACTGGCTCTTTACTGTGAGAATGGAATAAGCACAAAGAACTATATAAGTGTAGCCATCACACTAGTCACTCTCCTGGTTTGCTGGAATGTGAGAATGTAACAAGGAAATAACTACTACCCTGGAAACAGGCTACTGGCTCTTTACTGTGAGAATGGAATAAGCAAAGAACTATATAAGTGTAGCCATCACACTAGTCACTCTCCTGGTTTGCTGGAATGTGAGAATGTAACAAGGAAATAACTACTACCCTGGAAACAGGCTACTGGCTCTTTACTGTGAGAATGGAATAAGCACAAAGAACTATATAAGTGTAGCCATCACACTAGTCACTCTCCTGGTTTGCTGGAATGTGAGAATGTAACAAGGAAAGAATAGGTGTAGCTACTACCCTGGAAATAGGCTACTGGCTCTTTACTGTGAGAATGGAATAAGCAAAGAACTATATAAGTGTAGCCATCACACTGGTCACTGGCTATATACTGAATCTTTGAAAATCCAGTGTAATCAGTGAGGCATGCACTTAATATCAACTTTAGTAGCACTATGCCAAAGGTGGAGTTTTCTGGATGGACATAAGTATCCTAAAAAGTGAGGCCATTGCAGTATACATTTCCAAATGGTTTTTTCATTGATAGTAGGGCATAGGTTCTCAAGTAAGCCATTTGGGTATAAGACCAGCCCCAAATGTCCCCAAAGCTCACAGCCTTGTGCAAACACACAAGTGCATTCTTTAAAGCGTCCTGATCTCATATTTCATTAGCTTACATAGCCCTTCGTGCCATGAAGTATACCTGCAACTTATCACTTACTGACTATATACCTCAATGTTGACAAAGGAAAATCAGGGAACTGCCAAACCAACCCCCAAAAGTCCATTAGGGGATAATAACAAAAGGCGTACCCCCTAGAAGTGTGGTTAATTAAAGCTGGATTGATGATAAATGGTACAGGAATGCAGAGGTGGTTGGTGTAAGCAAACAATTGTGCAACAGTGTTTCCTGTGCTATTGCATTACAGAACTATTAGGCATTCCCGAGGTGTAGTTTCCCAAGGGGTGCGGAATGTATAATATGCATCTTGCCGCTTACATGTAGGAGTCAGGTCCTTGTTACATTTATGAACAATGAAAATGCTTACCAGCAAATTTCGTCACTCAAAACTTAGTCTTAATGAAGAACCAACCTGTCAAGTGTGTATAGCTCAAAGGAGTCATTTCTTCTGGCTACTATCGTGAGCTCTCACATAGCCACAGTGGTAGCGCACTTTCGTTCAAAGCAAGATGTGGTGGGTTCGAATCCAACTAGCACTGGTAGAGAACTTTCTCTTTCTTCCTTTCCTGCCAAACGCCAACAACTAGCACTGGTAGAGAACTTTCTCTTTCTTCCTTTCCTGCCAAACGCCAACAACTAGCACTGGTAGAGAACTTTCTCTTTCTTCCTTTCCTGCCAAACGCCAACAACTAGCACTGGTAGAGAACTTTCTCTTTCTTCCTTTCCTGCCAAACGCCAACAACTAGCACTGGTAGAGAACTTTCTCTTTCTTCCTTTCCTGCCAAACGCCAACAACTAGCACTGGTGGAGAACTTTCTCTTTCTTCCTTTCCTGCCAAACGCCAACAACTAGCACTGGTAGAGAACTTTCTCTTTCTTCCTTTCCTGCCAAAGGCCAAACTTTAAGTGAGATATGCATACTAATGTAGGAGGTGAAAAAAGCTCTAAGTGCCAATGTCTCGCATCTTGCTGCATAATGTTTGCATATCCTGGCAGGAACTGTGGGTGAGGGATTGCATCACAGTGAGGTCGGGGAAGAGGAAGAAAGACAGACCCTACATTGCAAAAATCGGGAGCATATGGAGAGAAAACAGCGGTGAGTTACGTAACCAGCAAGGTTTTCAGTTTTTGTTATATAGCAACAGGGAAGTTTTCTAGTGTGTTTAATGACCGGTATATATACACATCAAACTCTGTGTGAAAACTTCCTTTGAAGTGTGTATATAGTATATATGAAAGTTACTGCTACTATTGCAGGTGCTGTAATGGTGACTCTGTTTTGGTACTACCGTCCCGAGGAAGCTACTGGCATACACCACACTGACTTCCAGAAAGTATGAGATCATAATTCAATCGTGTACCGCTCATAATTATGGGTTGATTCCCAACGGTGTAGTGTATAATGTGTTATTACTGCTGTAGAGGTGAAAAGGTTAATTACACTTTCCCCAACAGGATGAACTATTGGCTTCACAGCACTACGATGACAACAGTGTAGCCTGCATTGAAGACAAGTGTTACGTGCTCGGGCTCAGACAGTACTGCAGGTACGTATTACATAGCATCAACAGCAGTTAGGCTAGGTTCACAATATTACGTCACATTGGCCCGATGCCGCGTCACATCCTGCCGCAAAGATAGAAATGGATCCTATCCTTGCGACACGGCAAAGCGGCAAGACGCGACAAGCCAAAGCGACATATTGTTACCCTAGCCTAATTGCTGGTGGTAAGGGAAGCATTCCACTAAATGGTTGGCAAGGCATATCACTAAGACTGAAATAGCTCTCGCCCCATAACAGCTCACACTTTTACTTCACGCTATATATAAAAAGAAGGGAGGAGAAGGAAGAGTGAGAAGGGCTTCAGGGGCAAGCAGCATTATAATATGCAAAGCCACTGGTTAGTATATAGGTATGGGGGGTTGACAGTAACGACTATTATGATTTACTGGAAAACATACTGCACTTGCAAAGTGCTGGATGCACAATGAAGATCGCAAAGCCAGAATAAAAGTGGAATTTCACAAAATTCCTACATAGTAGGAAATTTGTGGCACATTCCCCGTGTTAATAGTATTATAGTGTTTTTACACGTGTAGGAAATACCCCCATGCTATTATATAACAGTTACACTTATCAATATCTGCTCAGGTACCACGCACAGCGCGAAAGTACGGCGCAGGCCATTGGGAATTTGGACGGTTTCTCTGTAATTCGGGGCAGCCCAAACGAAACAGGACAGCATACGAAGCCGGCTTCCAGACGCAAGAAATCAAATCCCCACGTGTTTCTCTGTCACCGTGGCTACAATCACATAGCAGGAAGGTTACTGAAGAGTCATAAGTACAAATAAATATTGCTTCACTAAAGCTGTGCATTCCTGTTTGTTGTATCATATTTGTTTGCGGTCTTCATTGAAACACATGTTACAGTTTCTTGATGGTTTTATATATTATTTTATTGGTGCAGGCATGTACAAAATCGTGTGTTGGCCTCTTGCAAACGTGAAAAGATATAAAACATTTGCTGGACATTATAATTATGCACAAAAGGAAAGTGGATAAGATCAAGGTAATAATATTGTCAAGTGGTGGTTGTTATGAATTGTAGGGTCTTGGAGCTCAATGTATGGCAGTCACTGGACTACTGCAAATTAGACACAATACAACACAGTGAAGGGTTAAAAAAAGTAATGGAAAGTATTTTCATTACTTTTTCATCCTGCTGAGAAAGGGTGAGAAGCCACTGGACGCATGTGTACTGCACGTACCGGAGTGTTTACCCACAGCTATATAGCACAATGCAGAGGCTATTGCCCATCAAAAAAGGATTGCCCATCGCAGCAAACTACTAACTGCAAGACAAAAAACCTGAATCGGAGAACCAGGGCTATGACTAGAATAATTATGTAATGCTTAGATCCTTATATCCAACCTCCATAGCACATACAGTAGTTCACGTTCCGTATTAGGCTGAGGCAGATAGTCATTAGAAATCCAGTTGTAAGCTACGTAGCTACGACCCCACTTTCTTTACTCAGATGCAGTAAGGTCTTATTGGTAAGGTCAAGGCTAGATGATGATAGTCCTGGATTTTACCTGGTGGCAAGGGACTCTCCCAGTTTCTTTGCAACATTTCTTGACTTTAGTTTCCCGTTGTTTCCCTGCAAAATACCAACTTTAATGCCGTGGAATGCAGGAAATTTTCGGATGACTGAGGTCGCATAGTAAGAGTGCATTTTGTGTGCTAAGCAGGGAGTGCCCTTGTAGGTATGCTGCTGTTACGGAGTAATTCCAGCAGGCCAGGCTAGCTGAGTTGGTTATGTGCCATTAAATATGGATCACAAATTGACACAGCCACAGTCAATATCACTACTGCTTCCAACCCTACTGCATTGGCGACTGGTAACGCATACATTTACTGTAGATGGAATCCATAAACAACCCCAATGACTTATGATGATGAAAGTGCATGCCAAGAAAAACCTTCACAGTGGAAGATGGATGTTTACAATCAAAAATCTTCACAGCGGAAAACGTCAGTATAATATACTTTGCATATATCTTGCCTTTGATTTTCTTCGCTGTAGTTGAGTCCACGGAAAGGAGAACTTTTCCAACTCCTTTGGCATTGAATCAGACCCTGCACAATAAAAACAAATTTTGCAGGAGTAGCTATACAAAAATTTATACTTTATACCATAAGATTGTCATTTATATTTCCGAAAACAATCCACAAACTAGTGAAAAATAACTCAACAAGGTCTGTTTGAACTAGACCTCTTCCTTGTGCTAGTTCTCTAAAGCTTTACCCATGCTATCGCCCACTAAAATAAGCACTGCTTTAATTGACTCTTTGTCAAACCTCTCCTCTATGACATCATCCATGTAGTATATACCTACCTCTCAAGCAGAGAAAAGTGATGAAATCTTCAGTCTTAGGAATCTCTTTAAATCGAGACATGCCCTCCACTTCATCTCTTGTCAGTCTGCAGCAGTCAGCACAAACATCACACACAATAATTATAATAAAAGCTCTTTTATAGATAGAATCACACTGATGGCTAATCTAATCATCAATGGGACTGTCTATGTGCTCTGCAATGTAGCCATACCTTTAAAGGACTAGTAACTTAGTCAGTGGCATTACAGGTGGCTGCATAGTAGCTACATACTTTGTGGGAGTAGAACTTGGTGCCTGGTTCTGGGCAAACTTTCTTTGTGCAGCATATGGGCTGCATATGGAAGGAATGGCAACTGATAACATTAATATATATAATTATATAAACACACATAAGTACACACACACACTATACTGGCATGTACTACAGTTCACTGGTAGGCAAACATACTCCAGTGTGTGGGAAGATCCCTGTTATGGGGGTTGGCTAGCCATGTATGTGAAATTCTGGAGCTTAACAACTTAATAGAATCACGGTAGCTACACAGAGCCAGTCATTCAACATGCACTATAAGAAACTTGGTGTTGACTTAAACTATAGCCAATAGCCATTGAATGGTATGGCTGAATGATAGACTCAACACTCTGTGACCCACAGATGTGAATAGACATCCATATACACTCACACAACAGAGCATAGAATGTAGGTCTATTCATGCACCACTAGACATCAAAACCCAGTATATATACAACTGAACACTAGCAATACAAAGTTAGCAGAGGTATTTTACCTGCTATCCAATACTGCACACTCACATGCGTAAGTCTGCACATGGCATGCTAAGTCATAATTATTCCACACTGCTGACAAAGGCTGGGCATTCAACTGCACCGCACCTTACACACTACCAAGGCAGCAAAGTATATCATTTGGGGAACACACCACACAGGTTCGACCAACTCTACTCTTGAGTAACAGCTCACCTTGATCTGATTTCAGTCTGCGAATTGGTAGCTGCATCATCTTCCGCTATCGCTGCCTCCCCCTGACTCATTTGCTCCATGTTATAGCAGTGATCATGTAGCACCAGGGCTGCCTCTGGGCTCATAGGTCTCAGTAATCCTCTCCCACCACTCTGCCCTCCTCCCCTCCCCTGTTTGCCCACGCTCTGCTGCTTTCTCTTGACCATCTTTCCACCGTGGTACTGCAGTGAGAGCTTTGTGTAAGTCTTTGGTGTTTTGCCTCCTCCACCTTTAGTGAGTCCTGTGCTACTACCACCACCTCTAGCTTTGCCACTCTTGCCTAATTTCGGCGGCGTCTTTGTTGTTTCTTTAGGAGGGTACTTTCGAGGTCTCCCACGTTTCCTTTTCGGTTGTCCCTCCGTAGTTGAAACTGCCAAGGTGGGTTTCGCTTTCGGTAAAGAGGACTTCTTATTGCCCGGTGTCTTCTTTGTAGGTGACACTTTTCCCACGGCAGAGCCTTTGTTGGGTCCAGTTCCCACATTTGGTTCCGGAGTGGGACTCCAGCTGGAGGAGCTGGACCGGCTCCACGAGGTTGGGCTGAGGACGAGTTTCAGAGAGCTCTCGACAGAGCGAGGACTACTCAGCGAGGAAGAAGACGTGTGACGACCAAACACACCGCCGGTCCCACCGTTGCCTCGGCTGGGGCTGGAGGGTTTGCTCTCAGACGAGAGAGACTCCAGAGAGTGAGAGGGAGATAGTGGGGAGTGAAGTCGGCGGCGTTTCTGCGGGAGTGTGGTTGAGGAGGAGGAGGAGGGACCGTCTGTGGGGTCGCTGTAACTCTCAGTCAGAACTTGGCTGATTTCTGCAGCATACAATATAACACTAAAGACACTACAGGCCACATACTTTTACATGAGTGAATAGGGACATTAATACATGTCCTTTTCATAAGGCTTTAGCCTTTAGAAAGAGAATCTGAGTTCTTCTTAGATGCTCTTACAAGCAGTAATATTCATTGAATTAAATTTTGAGAGACCTAGAGAAAAAACAGTGCACTCTTCACGCATAATTGCAACGCATTCTGCATGAACAGTTTGAGAACTAATACGAACTTCTTTTGTTTGGAGCACTGGCAGTATCAGAAGAGACGGGTGGTATTGTTGCTGCCGAGACAGAGGGTCTGCGTCTAGTGTACTTCTTCTTTTTCTGGAGCAGAGATTCGTGGAGAGCTCTGTTGATGGCTGCCTCTTCCTGTGGCAGCAGTCCTACCAGTCCACTCTGGGAACAAGATTTAGAGGGAATACTGCATAGCTGGAAATACGTAGGTATCAGCAAACAGGTATAATGTGCTTGGTGATTTCGCTTATTGGCCAAATTCGGGGTGAGGGAGTTATGGGCTAAAGCAATTAGTCTTGGAAAAGATTTTTCAGCTTTGGAATAAGATTGAAATTGGGTGGTCCTCATGTACCATAATCAGTTGACTTCAAGCCCAACCACCACCAATTGCCAAATTGACTGACTTTCAGCATCAAGTGCATACTGCATTGTACACACAGACAACTATGTACACGTGCAAGGTTGTATACTCAAAGATGACGTCACATAATATTTAGCCCCACCTTACGGTACAAGTCCCTGAAAGGGCGCAGTTGGCTAAATGGCCAGTTTGTTTTGCTACATCCGAATCACTGTTGCTATTCACGTTTTAAGGGGGAGATGGTCAATGATAGCAGTATAATAGAGCAGTATGATGTCCTATATACTACACCCTTGGGCTTTTTATACTTACTGGAGGTACTCTCTGTCTTGATCTACGAACTGGGCGGTCCATATGGAGACTGTGAGCTAACACTGCTGTAGTAGGCGGTAAAAATTGGATGTTACAACAACACACGGTAGTTAACCCTTTCAGAACAGTTAGTTAGTAACGTTAACTCATCAAAACAATATAAATGCCCACACAGCTAGGCTATTCTAAATGGTGCTCCGCACAAATGGAAAACAATACAAGACGACACTGCACACGGTCATTGATCACTATTATCAAAGCCCAGAGACAGCCAGCCGTTACATTCAACTCACATAGACACACGACGACACCAGTAGTTTCCCTGAACACTAATCGCAGCTCCTAACGAAAAATGGGTGTGAAGGGGGCGTGGCACGCTCCACGTGGTTTTGTACTCTTCTGACAGCAGGGATCTATTCGGGATTCTGGGAGACGCGTAGAAGGCTGGTCAGCGTCCAATATGTCGAAAACGCTCTCTTGCGGCCGAGACCTGACGTGTGTTCCTGACCTGAAGCTAGCTGTAGAGGAAGCAGCAAAAGATGGGTGGGTAAGAACTACGAAGCTGGTAGCTATATAGCATGAGAATGTGTGATTTAGCCGAGCAAAAGCTTTAGAATACATAAGTGATGTACTGCACACAGAGTAGTATATGAGTTGCTGCGGTTTTTTTCAGGTTTGATTTTGTTCAAGTTCCCCTTTTTCACCCTCTCTTCAAACGAGACCACCCCTCAATTATCCATCGTCAAGGCCCCCCAACTCGCAATGACACCATCTTGACAGGCAACGACTGGGCCGTGCTCATTGTTGCCAAGCTGTCACCATGGATACAGCTGGAGAGTGAAGACCCTGCAATTAGGAGACAATCGGAAGATGTAAGCATCCAAATATTCTGTTATACTTCCATGCTGGCCAGACAGTTTGGTTCATGCTATCAGGCGAGTCATTCTACCATTCAAGATCTTGGTCCTCCTCTAATATTGAATGTATGCTTTCATTCCAGTGAAAATTAGTTTGCAAGTGAGCAATCCATTTAAACCTTGCGCTCACCTTCGTTTGCCATGATTCATAATAGTGCAGTAGGAAGTAATAGTGGTTGATCGAAACCTTGTGGCGAATACCACATCACTTGCTTTACGGAGTGTTCAGTCGCTGTGTTGTTCAGGGGTTCTTCCAGGAGGTATCTCTGGCCATTCACCTCGGAGTTCCCGCCATTCTCATCTCTCTCTCTTCTCCGTCTTGTGTCAACCTCGCCCGCTGCCTCTATAGACCTCTACTCACCAGCATCCAAATTGTGAGCCACTGCCTCAATAGTGCATATTAAGTTTGCATATTATGAATGCGACATTTATTGGATTGTGCTTGGTACATACGTAGATCTGACAGAGTAGTCATTGTAGTAAACCCCTCCTCTGTGAATCTGATGTTATACCAGATTCTCTTTCATGTTGGAGCACATGATGGTCTGGGCAAGAGAATAGCCCTTTGTGCTGCCGTGTTGGGTCATATACATTTGCCATACATACTGCAATCATTGTACCTACTCGTGCTATGATAATTTGATGTAATGGCTGATGTGCTAGCACCACAATTCTCCACTGCAGTATTGGGTGAAAGTCCCTGTTGTAAGTCCAAGACTTATTATGACTGATGTCGAAGAAGACGATAATACAAAACAGTCACACTCGGTATATTATTTGTAACTGAGTATTATTATTATACACTTCTCTCTGCTGTAGATTGAGGACCCATGGGAATGGTGGAATACTCTGAGAACTCTCTGTGGAAACAACTCAAAGCTACATCTTGGTTAGCAACCGTTTTGTATATTATTATGGTTTTGTGTGGCTACAGTAGACAATGTGGTATATAGCATAAAATTTTCGGACTTTTGGCAAGAAGGTGGGAGTTGGACAGGCCAACCAACAACTCTGAATTCCCTGGTATTAGCTGAAGAGTACAGTACAAATAATCTTGAAGAATAATAATTGTAGAAATGACGCTAAACTTCTCGTACTTTTATCAAGCAAGTGGAGGAAAGGATAGGCCAACCAACCATCTTGAGTACCTTGCCTATAGCTCGAGAGTGCAGTGCAAATATCCCTTTTGTACTTTTATGGGCAAGGACAGGCCAACCAACATTCTCGAACACCTTAACTATAGCGAGCCGTGCAAATGATCCTTACAGAGTGTAGAAAATAGGCCTAAACCTTTCGTACTTTTATCAAGCAAGTGGAGGGAAGGACAGGCCAACCAACTATCTTCAATACCTTGGCTATAGTTGGAGAGTGCAGTGCTAAGGAGTGATTGTAGAAAATAGGCCTAACAAATCCTCTTTATTCCCTTGATAAGCATTTCTCCATCACAGTACTGGAGGTGGGTTCAGTACTGCCCTCATATGCGCAGCAGTTGCGCTGGCTGGGGGAGCCCGTCAAGGCTGTGTCTATTGCAACTGGAACCTTCACTAAGAACCACAGAGGTCAGTTTGTATCACATCTTCACTCTTCTTATAAATGCCAGCTCACTATAAATCTGCTGCTATTCTTTAGGCTATCCTGTACTTGCTCAGAAACATCGAGAGTTCATTTACAAACTACTGAAGGTAAGGATTCATTGTGAACTGCTTATATAGGTGATATCTGCTTCTTCGACAGCTGAACGTTCAAGTCATTCTGACGGGCTACTCTAAAGTAGACTACGTGAGTGAAACTAATGAAACTCATACAGTTAGCTATATTATTTTCTCTCTACTTCCACAGCCAATGCAGAACTATCTGAGTACCTCAACCACCTTCATAAGGTCTGAGTAATTTCCCTCCCATTATGCAGCTTTTTCTTGTAGAATGTAGCCATGATGCAAAATTAGAATAACCACAAGTGCACATATCGCACATTCACATGTGGCGTTCAATGGTACTAATTATTTTGCATTTTTTGTAGGCACATGAATTGAAGTAGAGACTATCCATAGGATAGATAGGGAGAGTTGCAGTAAACTACATTACTATTTCAACTACAGTAAAAGAATGAAAAAGCACTAAAGTGCAAACCCTCGGCGAACTGCGCGTGCGCGATACTGCTAATTGATGGCTGGCTATTGCCTATTAGTATGCGTTTACTCGTTGTCTCCCGCTAGTATATACCTCGCAGAGAGTCTGACATGGGCTAGCTACAGTAGTAGATAGCATGCGAGAGTCGATACACGCCCTTCGTTGTGACTTCTTGTGCCTTCAAGATACACAGAGCAAGCGGCCCGGTCGAGGTAAGCCTGTGCTAAATATAAGCGCATGCGATAAAAATGGCCGACTAGCATTAGCCGTACAATGGCGGAAGCGCTCTAGCTTTGTAACGAAGCGTTTTCAGAGAAAACCGTTCGAAAGTTCTGACCTTCATTGCCCGTTAAGTAGGTCGTATCGTTTGTGAGACGAACAGACATTCGAGAAGTGAGATTGAGAGTAACAGACACACAGACCCAATTACCGTAACCCTCGCTGCGCATGCGCGCCGAGGGTTAATAATGAGTAGTTGGTTGGTCTCTATCTCGCTTTACTTGTCTCAATTTTGGTGTCACTTTTACCAATCCCCCACCACCCATTAAAGTATCAATTATTTCGCATTTTTTGTAGGCACATGAATTGAAGCAGAGACAAACCAACAACCCTTAATGTTTTTGTATAGTTGGATCATGGAATAGTATAATCTATCTCACTTTACCAATTCTTACTTCCCTCAATTTTACTCTCGCTTTACCAATCTCCATTGAAAAGTAGGAGGTGTCTATTATCTACACTCAGACAGTATCTTGACATCTGCAATATCTCTGCCACTTTTTGAAAATAATTATATACCTCAGTAGAATGATGTACCCATAATTTTATCAAAGATACATGTATGTGCAGCCAATTTATGAGAGATCCTCGACCCATGCAGACCAAGCCAGAGCGAACGTCACTCGAAACCTATGCCAAAGGCTTTGAAGAGTACTTGCAGAGCCCTTTACAAGTAAGTAATAATTGAACTGTGCTATACATTCATATTGCAGCATAATCATATCAGCCACTGAAAGACAATCTGGACTCAGCTACTTATGAAGTATTTGAGAAGGATCCGGTCAAGTACATATCGTATGAGAACGTAAGTCTATATTAGAGCACGGTCCACAGGTAGGTGATAGTGTGTTATATTATTGCAGGCAATAGCAAAAGCACTGGTGGACAGAATACCTGAGGAATCCGTCAGTGACGTCACTTGGTACAGTAATACTACGTGTAAAAGCCTTGGATATGTAAAGGCAGCATCATTTTGTATCACACACAAACACAAGTTGCACCTTGAATGTCGGTCGCATAATACCTGCGGGTGCCTTGTAAGTATGAGTGCAGCTTGTTTGTAATGAGTGCAGTTAAACGATACCCTACTTCAATAGTGTTCGTGTGGCGATCAAGATACTCCACTGGTGCACACATATTGGGTATCTGTATACACTCAGTGTAGTGATGGTGGTCGGAGTCTGTAGAGGACCCCTGGTCGAGGCCACTCTGCCAGGCGTCCAGACCTCTGGCAGGAATATCAGAGTGTATGCAGTGGAGAGAATCCAGGAGC